GTGTCGGATCCTTTAAGTAAGGTGGTCCTTTATATAGTTTTTGTTATTTTGGAATTGTATTTTAAATTGTTTCTTATTTTTATCTCACATCTAGACTTGAAATGGAATCCTTGAAGTATGATAATTGCAATTTAATTTTTTTCTAAATTTACAGTGCAAAATTTTAAGTTTGTAAGACGTAACTCACTGTGTCAAAATCTTGGATCATTTTTTAATTGTATCCCCTCATCCTAGATTTGAGAGAGAAAAAGGATCCTACTCCTAGATATATACGTGTATTGAATACCCACACCCAAGTCCAAGCAATGTAGGTGCAACCTTAGATTTTAAGTTCGGAATAGTTAAGTTTTATGTGAAATGGAGTGGAGAATTGGTTTTTAAGATAAACTGATGTAAGAAACGCCGGAGGTTAAGTGACGTAATTGACTGAGCAAGAAGAACAAGACTGTTTTCACTGATTCTGTGCTTTCACTCGGCCACTCCATTTTGGGCTGGAGTATGAAGGCAAGATAATTGTTGAAGTGATACCATTTTTCGGTTGTGTTGTTAAAACTTGATAGTCACCTCCGCAATAGGTAATTCAGATCTTGATTTTAAATTTTAAAAGTAGTTAAACATGAGCTTTGCATTGAACAAAAGTCTGAAATACATCGGATTTATTTATTAGGATAAAAATCTATATATCCTGTGTATGGGTAAATATATGGAACATAGCACCTGTCACCTTTTGCAGAAACACAAGGCAAACACCGAAGGTCTGGGTGAATTAATTCCAAAGGCTTAGTATACTTTGTTTCTGAAAGGGGAGTAATTGATGGAATTTGCTGAGGGGGACAAGCATGACAAAATAAGAAAATGCATTAGATGATAACTTTTCTTTTGACATGGAGAAAACTTTTCTTACAATGTGATTGGATGGATGCTCAATCCGTTTGCACTATAAATGAAACAAGTATGATGACATTTGATGACATTGGGACTTTGAAACAATAGAAATTAAACTAATGTTGCTAGAAGACTCCAAGACAGCTGGTGATATATGATTTGAAGAAGACTCTAGTGGTTCTGGACGTGCCATTGATGTGGAAGGATTAACCAAATTTGACCGAGTGTGCACTGGTAGGCCGAAGAGATTAATTCATAGAGACCTTTATTAAGCTTACCTTGGAGTAAATTTGTTCTCATATCCACTTCCTTAACAGAAGAAACAGTTGAATGAAATTTAAAATAGACATTGTTATTATGGGTAAATTGTGATACACTAATGAGATGTTTGGTCATTTGAGGCACGTCAAAATGGTTTTTTAGTTTAAACCGCTTAGATGAAAATGATGGCAAAAAGGTTGATGAACTCACAGGCAGTGGAGGCAAAACCATTACCATTACCAACATGCATGTGTGCATTTCCTAGATACTCCGAGCATTACTCAAATGACATGTTGCCCCTAAATCTCGGAACCACAATCCTACATTGGATGTGCCCTGGGAAGCAAGAAAGGCCTTAATGTTTCCATTCTGCTGACTTTGACCTACTATTGCATTGTTTTTTCCACCACTAGTGTTTTTTTCTAGTAATGTACAGTTTGTAGATTAGTGCTTGAAACTTGTATAACATGTAGAAGAGTCTTGTTCATTTTTGAAGGGTTGGATGTTTGTGTTGTGTTGGATCTCGTGCAGTGCCGACGTGAATACGGCATTATAATGGAAGTGTCGGTATAACGAAGGCGATATGTGAGGAGCTAAAAGTCTTAAAGCTCTTCCCAATGTTCTCAAAAAGCGATAAAGCTTGCATATATGTAGTGAATTTTCTATGAAGTCATTTATATGCTTTGTGGTTGAAGCACGACACTTTTCACTCTAGTACTTAAACTTTAGAGCAAGTATTTCTCCAACAAAAGAAGACAATGCAGGCAATATAAGGATCAAATAAAGGAATTTTTTATGTGAAAATTACCGACTTTCGTTCATTAACTCTCTTTTGTAAAAGAAATGGCTTTTACATCAGTCTTTGGTGAATTTTAGTATTCTATAATTTCTAGTTTTCTATGGCGTTAGGTTTGGGTTAGGTCAAGTCATGTTTTTGGTGATCCAAAATTGGTTAGAGTCTCTAATAGGTAGCATAAGAATTAGGAAAGTAGAATCCTAGATAAACTCTTGTAATGACCACATTGGTTAGAGACAACAGTTTTGAGGAAATTTTAAGAGCTTTTGAAGTGAAGATTGTGTGATACATTTTTGACCCTAAGGTCGATTCCTAAATTTTCTTCTTGTTCATTTTTCTTTCCGTAACTTATAGTATTGGTGCCTAGATTATCTACTAGATTTTTTATTTTATTTTTTCCTAAATCCTTAACCATCAAGCAAATCTAAATTCTCTAATTAGCTTTCACCTCTTTTAACCTGGTCTGAAACTGATTGAACTTCCTTGAATCCTATTTCATTCATTGTTATGTTAATTAAGGATAGCCCCCTCTCGAAAAGGCCATGGGACAAAGTTTGTTAATGGGCTTTGCTGTTGAGCAGATGCATGTTTCTCATTTGCTATTTGCAGATACGTTGATTTTCTGTGATGCGGATGATGAGCAATTTAGGAACCCGCGTCGTTTACTCTTGTGCTTTGAAGCCGTTTCTGGATTAAAAATAAATTTGGAAAAGTCTGAGACTATCACAGTGGGAGAGGTCGATAACGTGGAGGCGTTGGCTGGGATCTTGGGTTGCAGGGTGGCGCAATTGCCTATAACATATCTTGGGCTTCCTTTAGGAGCACGGTTTAAAAGCACACAGATCTGGAATATTATTGTGGAAAGGATGAAGAGAAGGCTAGATGGAAACGTATGTACCTTTCAAAGGGGGCCGTCTTACTCTCATAAAGTCCACTTTGTCAAATCTCCCTACTTATTTCTTGTCATTGTTCATATTTGGAATGGGATCATCGAAAGGATGGAGAAGAGGCTAGCAGGGTGGAAGCGTATGTATCTTTCAAAGGGTGGCCGCCTTACTCTCATCAAATCCACTCTTTCCAGCCTCCCTACTTATTTCTTGTCATTGTTTCCCATTCCTGTTGCAGTGGCAAAAATATTAGAGAGATTTCAAAGGGAGTTTCTTTGGGGAGGATTAGGGTAGGAGAGGAAACTACATTTGGTTAACTGGCGTGCAGTTTGTTTTCCTATTGGATTAGGTGGTCTCGGAGTGGGAAGTCTAGTATTGTTTAATAAGGCTTTGTTGGGTAAATGGTTGTGGCGATTCGGAGTGGAGAGGGAGAGCTTTTGGAGAGATATTAAACGGGCAAAATATGGTATTATGGAGGGGAATGGTGCTCAGGTGAGAGACGTGGTTCTTATAGAGTGAGTTTGTGGCGGTATATCCGGCAAGGGTGGAGCGACTTTCGGGATCGGTTGTCGTTTGTAGTCGGGAATGAAAATACCATCAGCTTTTGGGATGATTGTTGGTGTGGAGATCAACCGCTTAAGGTGGGATTTCCTTCTTTCTATCGGATTGTACTGGAGCCGTATGCCATGGTGAATGATGCCTTAGATATCCATAATGGGAGCTCTAGTTGGAACATTGTTTTTGATCGGGGTTTGCAGGACTGGGAGTTGGATGATTATGGGGCTGCTTTTGACATCTTTATACGAGGTACATATCAGGGCAGGAGAAGGTGATTGTAGTAGATGGAGGTTGACACGAGATGATCTTTTTTTAGTTCGCACTATGGACGGTGGCCAGATGACAGGTGTTAACGGTGGATAACCCCCGTATAAGGGGTTTTTATGTTACAGAGTGATGCTATATGTGTAAGAGGGATGTGGAGATGATTGATCACTTATTCCTTTATTGTGGTGTTGTTCGTTTACTGTGGAACGATATTCTGGTGTCGCAACACATGGATTGGGTGTTACCGAGGCGTATGTGGGACATGTTAAAGGTATGAAGGAAAAAGTTTCGAAACAAAGATAGTAAATTTGTATGAGACTTTATTCCGGGCTGTATCGTATGGTGTGTGTGAAAGGAAAGGAACAGTAGCTATTTTGAAGGTTAATCACGGACAATAGAGCAGATCAGCAGATTAGGGAATTGTTTTATTTTACATTGTATACTTGGTTTAATGCTGCGGCTACTAGGCATATAGATGGGCTGTCTAATTTCATGTTGTTACTTTCCGATTTAACTTGATAGTACACTTCTTGTGTATTATGTATTGATTAATAAAATATTTGATTACCTTTCAAAAAACAAAAAAAAATTAAGGATAGCCCTCAATGTTGTCCTTCATAGGTTTTTATCATTGTTCTAAAAGACATTCTAAAAGGCGTAATGTGTGGCGATACGTGGAGGCCAAACTATGGGATAGACGAGTTTAGGTGAGGCATGGGCATAAAAAGGCGTTTTCTTATTTTAATGTTGTAATTTTTAATCAATCATAAAATCATTTAATAATTAAAAATAATACCTACCAAACATCTAAAACATATTTGTAGGAACTTTATACATTTTCTAAAAAGTTTCTAACAAAAGATAAGTTTCAAATTTAAATTATCTTTTTAAGTTTTAACTTAAAAGAATTGTAAAAATATTAAAAAAAAAAAAAGAAGATAATAATGTGCGTCTAGACGCTCATTAATGGTCAACGATTTCCGCTGACTATAACTTGCTTGGCACTTCCGCCACGCATTGCTTCTAGGTGACGCTTTCTAGAACACTGATTTTTATAGTGTGTGTTAAGTATATGTTGCATGTTATATTGATAGTCCACTTCTAATAAGATTGTGGTTTTTTTCCTTGGTATAACTATAATAAAAACATAGCATTATTTTGATGTTAACCTTGCATGGACAAAAACTGAAGAAAATACTGTAGAAAGGATTAATAATTATGGGGATGTAAAACTTGAAACAGTAAATACTGTTGTTTCCAAAAGAAACTCTATACAACTCTTGTTTTTATGCAATGGACATGTTCTCTATTGTTCATTCATAACTGATACAATTGGCTTTTTTCAGGGTTCACGCATTCAGCTTTTGCTCTAGGATATGAGGCAGGGATCAATAAAAGCACAATTGATGGTAATTTAGTTCCACCAGGTGCTCTTGTTACCTATGTTCAGAAAGGAATTCAATACCTTGAATTAGAAGCAAACTTGACTAATGTAAGTATGTGACTGATGAAGTGGTGGGTGTTGAGTTCTTTGTTTTCTACATTTGATTATATTCAACTAACTTAGAATTGTTAATGCATTCAGGATGATTTGGACACAGATGAGGATTTTCAGTTCCTACAACCTTTGGATCTTATCACGAAAGATGTATATGAACTTCGAAAGATCATAAAGGAGAGAAAAGAGAATATGCAAAAGGATAAAGCTAAAGGAAAAGAGAAAGAAAATGTTGAAAATGACAGGGAACGTGAACCCGAATCTGCAATTGAAAAGGAGAAGGAACCCGCCAGAGGAAAAGAAAAAGAAAAACAACCGAAGGAGATAGAAAAGGAACAAGACAGAGAGAGGATAGATAAAGAAAATGATAAAGGGAAGGGCAAAGGCAAGGAAAAGCCACAAGTGGATGTCACTGATACAAGTCAAAATGGAGATAAGATTAGCGGCAGACTTGAGGAGAATGAAATTGATGAGGGTAATATACATTTTCCTCTCACTTTTATTTAACATTCTTAGGATGTAACAATTAGCATGTTCATCTAAGCTTGAGAAAATTAAAGTTACATACTTTTAAGTAACTTTTTGGGTCCGAACATGTTTGGATGACTTGCTATTTTCTGCTTTTAATAATAATTAAATAAGTTACCTTTTTTGTAAGTCGTCGTAACGTAATGTCAAAATAAGTAACTTATTTCCACTTTGATGGTAGAAAAATTACTTAACTTTTAAAGCTTAGAGAATTGTGCTCTATGACCACAGAAAAACTTCATTTTTTCTGTTATCCATGATTTTGGTTAGTTTAACTTACCCTGTCTGTTTTTATTAAATCACAACAGGGCCAGAACCTATGAATATATGCACAAGTTCAACATCTTTGCCCTATGAAATCCCAAGCAGTGACGTGTTTTTTCTGCAGGGCCACACCTCTGAGGTATAATTTCTTTGCATATTTCTTTTTCATAATCCCCTAGCGCCTTCATTTATTATTTAAATACAATAAATTATCTGAATATTTTTTAAGGCTATCTGTACGATAAGTTGCATGTTCCTCTATTCTTCACAGGTTTTTGCATGTACATGGAATCCAACTGGTTCACTCCTTGCTTCTGGGTTCGTGTAGCCTCTAAAATTGCTTCCTTATTCGGTACATTTGGTTAATACTATTTTATTCACCAATCCCCATAAATATGGGTTCCCATCTAGCTGTTTGGAGAAGTAAATGTGTAGGATCTCAATAGAAATATGACTTTAATATTTATATAAATAATAAGCTGAAGAGAGCTTTTTATCCACCCCAGAACACACTTATGCACTCATTTTAGACATAGATTATATAAAGAAATCACTTCTAAGTCAATCTTCTCAGATATCACAGCTCATCACAGTTCTACACTTGTGTGCTTAAACACATATCATCACAGTTCATAGACAGTCTCTGTTCCCCTTTCATCTCATAGAGTTGTCAAATAATAGAGAACTATGAAGCACCTCAATTTCTTATGCATAGCGTATATAACATATTGATAAAAGAATCAGAATAAAATCGTTTAGTGTATAATTTTGTAGAACCCTGAAGGCAAAAACCTGTGCTACAGCTGATTTATGTTGCAGGGCTGTATAACTTAAATATTTCCAGGAAACCAAAAGCTTTTCAGACAACCTAGAAAGACTTTAAGAAGTGAAAGAATCAAATTTGTAAGATAGATTGCAATATTAAATTTGAGATGGGTGCTATTTCTATTGAATTACTTGAGATTGTGTAATTCAATGTTTTGGGGCGTGCATTTGTTTCTTCTTCATTAAATGTTTTTGGTTCCTGGGATTTCTGGATGAAACTTTGAGGAAATATGAGTTCCATGATAATGATTGATCATTGGATGAATTTCAATTGTGTCAACATGAAAATGTTAAGTGACAAAGTTTGTTCAAGCCTAAAGGTTTCCTAAAATGAAAAATGAAGAAAAAGGACAAAAGAAGAATGGGAATAAAATAGTGTCAGAACTAAGAAGGCAAACCGTGTTTCGATAATTTTTGTTTCTATATATTTCGCCAGGTCCCTTGTATCTAAATTGAACTCCTATTTGTTTCTGGCAACTCTGAAAATGTTTTCATTCGGCAAACTCATTTTCAGTTTTCCATCTTCTGCTATCACATCTACTTTTTTATTTTTACTTTTTTGATTTTTAATATTTGCAAAATAATTGTCCAGATCTTATGAAGTTTCTGCCTGAAATAATCTAAGTTCTGTAGCCAGCTTTTTGTGAATCTTAATGTACTTGGTGCAAATGCCAAAAAAAAAAAAATGACAATATTAGATGATATATTGACTAAATATATAGAACTAAAAGAATTTTGTTGTTTGCCGTGAAGTTCTAAGTTTTTTGCTGTATCTGGGCAGACATTGGATTTGATTGCTTCTTTCTTTCTTAAAGAGCTTCATAAACATTATAGAAAGTACATGTAGTTAAACGTGTTTTGAACATGTGTACACCATTTCTCATTTTAGCCAAAATATGCGCAACTCTTCAATTTACTGAAGTCAGTAACATTGTTGTAATATTACACACCTGCTCAGTCATTTAGATTTATTGTGGTGCCCTTTAACTATCATGATTGTAGGATTGGCTTTTATGGTTGTTATGCATGTGAAGGCAAATTATGTACACTGTAACTTACAAGAAAATGATGTTAAGTTTCTCCAAAATCTTAGCACATGATAAGACTTTTTTACATTTTCCTCGATTTGATCAAGAGCTTGAATGGTAAGCAATTCTATTACTTCAATGATCTTTTTCTTTTTCATTTCGATATCTTGTTTGCAATTTTTGAAGAAATTTTGGCATGGTATTTAAGCATGTTCGAGTTTGTGGTGTTGCTCGATATACATTTTTTGCGTAAATATATTTTGATGTAGTTGCACTATTCAAATGATTTCTTGAAAATCTGGGGAAGACGGCAGCATGAACTGTAATTCCGCCAAGTTTAAGTCTTCTGATTCTATTGTGTACTTGTTTTACTAGGTCTGGAGATTCGACTGCTAGAATTTGGACAATTGCAGAAGGACCATGTAGCTCCACCATGCAAGGTGGCCCTTTAAATGTTGTTGTACTGAAGCATTTCAAGGGTAAAACAAATGAGAAAAGCAAGGATGTCACAACACTTGATTGGAATGTGAGTTTTCTTACATAATTCTTGTGTGTGCTCTCTCTAGCATCCTGTCATGAAATGAATTTCTGAACTTTTTTATTGTTCATTGTAGCATTTAGGTCTGACAGGGTTTTGCATAACTGTTGTTTTCTGAGCCTTGATTTGATGTCATTTTCTTCTTTTATTTTGAACATGCTCTTGGTGTAGGTGGAGGGGACGCTACTTGCCACAGGTTCGTATGATGGCCAGGCAAGAATATGGAATAAGGATGGTAAGATGTTTCTAATACTATTGATCTGAAAAAGATACCACTGCAAAATTACTGTCCTGCTCGTATGCGATGCATAATGGTAGAAAGAAATACAGACAGCAGAGCGGGTGAATCAGAGACTTGGGAGAGAAACCCGGGGAACATTTAATTATGTTTAGTGTGGCAAAATTTTAGAAGTGCTGCTTCTCATCTATACTTAAAATCCCTAGTAAAGTGGAAAGTTACTTCAAAAGCAAACACGGAACATTTTTTAACTTAAACCAAATAATCATGGAATGAAAATAATCAAATACTTGAAAATCACTGGAAATAAATTACAATCTCTTTCTTTATAGTAAGTACTTATTTTTGCAAATCTTGTCTTCATTTTTCCCTGGTTTAAAGGTACTCAATTCAGGTGAGTTAACTTTCAATATTGATACTATATATTTGGATCAAGAGGGATGACCTTTTGTTGAACAAGAAATTTATAAGGACCTCAGATGAAGAAGCATAATGATCTTCTTAGACGTTAACAAAGAAATCAACTGTTGCCATGAAAGTAAAGCAGCTCCTGGAACTTGAACAGATGGTCCTGTACAGACAAAATATATGCTACCCCAGGGGCTAGAATGTGCTATGGTATCGAATTTGAAATATTGGCTTATTATTAAATGTGATGGCAAGTTGAGTTCCAACCCTTCGAACCATAAGAAAAGTATGGAGTGAGCATGAATTTTTTAAAAAGAATGTTTATTGTAACGCCTAAGAGAAATAAATATGCACCATAACATAATGACCCCTTTAAATTCTCTGTGCTTGTGATGTGTATCAGTGGCGACCTTATAATTTTTATTACTTGCAACAGTTTTACATTTTTGTCATCATGAAATCATGAATATGGTCAGCAAAGGCTTAGGCTTGATCAAAATGGCTGTAATCAATAGGGCTAAACAATGTAGCAAAATGGGAAGCATGTACCCTTGGAGCATGGCATGCAATTAACTCTATCTGCAGTTAACTAAAATACAAGCAGGACTCCTTGCAATTTTAGGTTACCCTAGAACAAAGCTCACGCTAAAGTGACACCAAGGGATATATGGAATTGAAAGTGCTTCTATTAGCCTACTCAGCTTTTAAGATTTATCACATTATAGTCAACTTAATTGCAATCTTGGCGCTATGTCTATTGCATATTGAGCATCTCTCATCTCTGGCAGCTGATAGTTAATCAATCTAGGGGCCTTTGGAAACGAAATAGTGAAGCTAGCAGTTCATAAATCAATTTATATTATGTTTTCAGAATATAGTATCTGGACATTTATTGATACAGTTTCTTGGTGTGTGTAATTATTATTTTACCGATGGGCCTAATATACATTTTAGAAGCTCAATTTTAACATGGAAGAGTATTAGGTCCACCCATGTACATCTACCTTTCTATTCATTCATATTCTTTCTATGAGACGATGTCTTCACATGTGAACTTGAATATCTCCCCATTCACTCATGGTATATCTACCCCCATCACCTTGAATACCACCATAAAGCCAGTCTCCAACAACCCCCCCCCCCCCCCCC